GTGGTGGGTGATGGTGGTGGGGGTGTGGTGGTAGTGATGGTGGTGGTGATGGCAGGTGTGGTAGTGATGGTGGTGGTGATGGTGGTGGTGGGTAGGTGGTGGTAGTAGTGGTGGGTGGTGGGTGATTAGTGTGGTGGTGGTGATGGGTGGTGGTGGTAGTGATGGTGGTGGTGATGGTGGTGGTGGAGTAGTGGTGGTGGTAGTAGTGGTGGTGGTAGTGGTAGTGATGGTGGGTGGTATGGGGGTGGTAGTGATGGGGTGGGTGATGGGTGGTGGTGGTAGTGATGGTGGTGGTGATGGTGGTGGTGGTAGTAGTGGTGGTGGTAGTAGTGGTGGTGATGGTGGTGGTGGTAGTGATGGTGGTGGTGATGGTGGTGGTGGTAGTGATGGTGGTGGTGATGGTGGTGGTGGTAGTAGTGGTGGTGGTAGTAGTGATGGTGGTAGTGATGGTGGTGGTGATGGTGGTGGTGGGTAGTGATGGTGGTGTGATGGTGGTGGTGGTAGTAGTGGTGGGTGGATGGTGGTGGTGGTGGTGGTAGTGATGGTGGTGGTGATGGTGGTGGTGGTAGTGATGGTGGTGGTGATGGTGGTGGTGGTAATAGTGGTGGTGGTAGTAGTGGTGGTGGTGGTAGTGATGGTGGTGGTGGTGATGGTGGTGGTGGTAGTGATGGTGGTGGTGATGGTGGTGGTGGTAGTGATGGTGTGGTGGTGGTGGTGGTGGCAGTAGTGGTGGTGGGTGGAGTGGTGGTGGTAGGAGTGGGTGGTGGTGGTGATGGTGGTGGTGGTAGTGTGATGGTGGTGGTGATGGTGGTGGTGGTAGCAGGTGGTGTTAGTAGTGGTGGTGGTAGCAGTATGGTGGTAATGATGGTAGGAGATGGTGGTGGGTGGTAGTGGTGGTGGTGGTGATGGTGGTGGTGGTAGTAGTGATGGTGGGTGGGTAGTAGTGATGGTGGTAGTGGTGGTGGTGGTGGTGGTGGGTGGGTGGTGGGTGGGTGGGTGGTGGCGGTGGTGGTGGCGGTGGTGGTGTGGGCAGGGTGGTGGTGGTGGTGGTGGGTGGTGGTGGTGGTGGTGGTGGTGGTGGTGGTAGTAGTGGTGGTGATGGTGGTGATGGTGGTGGCGATGGTGGTGGGTGGCAGTGGGTGGTGGTGGTGGATGTGGTGGTGGACGGGGTGGTAGTAGTGGTGGTGGCAGTGGTGGGGTAGTAGTGGAGTGGTGGTGGTGGAGTAGTGGTGGTGGTAGTAGTGGTGGTGGTGGTAGTAGTGGTGGGGTAGTGATGGTGGTGGATGGTGGTGGGTGATGGTGGTGGTGGTAGTGATGGTGGTGGTGATGGTGGTGGGGTAGTAGTGGTGGTGGTGATGGTGGTGGTGGTGAGTGATGGTGGTGGTGATGGTGGTGGTGGTAGTGATGGTGGTGGTGATGGTGGTGGTGGTAGAGTGGTGGTGGTAGTAGTGGTGGTGGTAGTAGTGATGGTGGTGGTGGTGATGGTGGTGGTGGTAGTGATGGTGGTGGTGATGGTGGTAGTGATGGTGGGTGGTGATGGTAGTAGTGGTGGTGGCAGTAGGTGGTGGTGGTAGTGGTGGTGGTGGGTGGTGATGGTGGTGGTAGTGATGGTGGTGGTGACGGTGGTGGTGGTATGATGGTGGTGGTGATGGTGGTGGTTGGTAGTAGTGTGGTGGTGGTAGTAGGTGGTGGTAGTAGTGATGGTGGAAGGATGGTGGTGGTGATGGTGGTGGTGGTAGTGGGATGGTGGTGGTGATGGTGCGGTGGTGGAGTGATGGTGGTGGTAGTAGTGATGGTGGTGGTAGTAGTGGTGGTGGTGGTGGTGGTAGTAGTGATGGTGGGTAGTAGTGGTGGTGTGGGAGTAGTGGTGGTGGTGGTGGTGGTGGTGGTAGTAGTGGTGGTGGTGGTAGTAGTAGTGGTGGTGGTAGTAGTGATGGTGGTGGTAGTAGTGGTGGTGGTAGTGGTAGTCAGAGTTGGCTGATTTAAAACCAAACTATTTTTATTTATTTATTTGTTTATTTATTTTTGTACTACCATTTTGTTTTTGCTTTAATTACCTTTTTAGTGTGTTTGTTGTATTCATCCTGTGTGTGTGTGTGTGTGTGTGTGTGTGTGTGTGTGTGTGTGTGTGTGTGTGTGTGTGTGTGTGTGTTTTAATGTGCGTCTGTAAAGTCTGTGGATTGGTTCCCGTGACACATACAAAAAACCCCCCCCACACACACACACACACACACGATAATCACATTAGCATCCACACCAGGAGGAGGAAGAAGAAGAAGAAGAAGAAGAAGAAGAAGAAGAAGAAGAAGAAGAAGAAGAAGAAGAAGAAGAAGAGGAGGAGAGAGGAGGAGGAGGAGGAGGAGGAGGGGATGTGAGTGGTAGCATGATAATGTCTCCTTCTCTCTCTCTCTCGATGGCGTTGTCTGTCTGTTTCAAGGAATGTTTTTATAGCGTGTTTGAGGAGGGACGAACTCTCGGGGTGCTGGGGAGGGGGAAGGAGGGGAGAAGCTGGGGAGGGGGTGAGGTGGGGAGAAGCTGCTGGGGGGTGTGTGGGGAGGGGGAGAGGAGAAGCTGCTAGGGGGGTGTGGAGGGGAGAGGTGGGGGAGAAGCTGGTGGGGGTGGGGGGTGTAATGTGTAGGTGTTGCTCTGTGTGTGTGGGGAGTTAGGGGAGAGAGCCGGGCTAACAATGAAGTAAAGTAACTCTCTCGTGTTTGTACGCTTGTGTTAGTGTGTGTGTGTGTGTGTGTGGTGTGTGTGTGTGTGTGTGTGTGTGTGTGTGTGTGTGTGTGTGTGTGTGTGTGTGCCAAATGCTCTTCAATAAACCTTTATTATTATTAGTTACACACACACACCACACACACCTCACCACACAACACATTGTCTTGGCTGGTGCCCCTCAGAGTAAAGCTGAGGAGTGTGTGCCAAGGTGGGGGTGGGTGGTGGGTGGGGGGGTGAGTGGGTGTGGGTGGGTGGTGTGGGGGTGACAAGTGGTAGAACATCAGGTGATATTTTTATAATTATTCTGCTGGTGTTTATGTTTGTGTATATCTTTGGTGGTGTTGTTATTGTGGTTATTATTGTTAATGTTTATGTTGAACCTGACTTAACCTAATCTATCCTGACTTAATCTAATCTATCCTGACTTAATCTAACATAACTTAACCTAACCTTCATAGTACAGTATTATTATGGCTGTGCTAGTTAAACAGATTATTATTATTATTATTATTATTATTATTATTATTATTATTATTATTATTATTTACTTTATTTGTTCGTTGAGTTAATTTGTGTAATTTTATACAGGAAGATTATGCCCTGAAACCTCTATTTAACCAACTATAGACATAAGTCCGTTATATCGAGGGTCCGTTATATGTGAAACTTCTTTATAATGAACTGTATAGAGATGAAAGTCCATTATATCGAGGGTCCGTTATATGTGAAACTTCTTTATAATGAACTGTATAGAGATGAAAGTCCATTATATCGAGGGTCCGTTATATGTAAAACTTCTTTATAATGAACTATATAGAGATGAAAGTCCATTATATCGAGGGTCCGTTATATGTGAAACTTCTTTATAATGAACTGTATAGAGATGAAAGTCCATTATATCGAGGGTCCGTTATATGTGAAACTTCTTTATAATGAACTGTATAGAGATGAAAGTACATTATATCGAGGTTTCACTGTATTCTGGAAACATAGGGTTACTTCAAGCTTAAGCTGGGGTCATTTGGCAAGTTTTATGCTTGATTTTGTAACGATTTAATTAAGCTGTGTGTTGACTGTGCAGTAAGCTGATATAAAAAGTCACATGAAGCTTAGAGCCTCCACCAGGTTATTTCACCTCATGATTGAAGCTTAGAGCCTCCACCAGCTTATTTCACCTCATGATTGAAGCTTAGTTCCTCCACCAGCTTCTTTCACTGATGAGTAAACACCCTAATGCTATCTAGATCAAGGGGTTAGGTTAGGTTGGGGCAGGATAGGTTAGGTTGGGTTAGGTTAGGTTGGGGCAGGATAGGTTAGGTTAGGTTAGGTTGGGGCAGGATAGGTTGGGTTAGTGTTAGGTTAGGTGGTGATGCTAGGTTAGGTTAGCATGTAAGGTGGTTAGGTTAGGTTAAGGCAGGATAGGTTGGGTTAGGTTAGTGTTAGGTTAGGTGGTGATGCTAGGTTAGGTTAGCATGTAAGGTGGTTAGGTTAATGTTAGGTTAGGTTAGCATTAGGTTAGGTTAGCATTAGTGTGGTTTATCTTAAGGTGAAATAAGTGTGGGAAGGGGGGGTCGCGGGGGGCTAATCTTCAGGTGGTTATCTTGACAAGCAATCTAAGAGTGGATGTCCAGTGCTAAAAAGTAAATAATGATAAGATTGTCCCCATTGTTTAGTTGTTTACTAGTTCAGTGTTTAATTATGTAGGACAGTGTGTTACCTTTATAGAGCCACCCTAATGGTACCCCAACCAAACCTATCCTAACCAAACCTATCCTAACCAAACCTATCCTAACCAAACCTATCCTAACCAAACCTATCCTAACCAAACCTATCCTAACCAAACCTATCCTAACCAAACCTATCCTAACCAAACCTATCCTAACCAAACCTATCCTAACCAAACCTATCCTAACCAAACCTATCCTATCCCCCAGACAATAATACCACTACAGTAATTCCTACCCCTTTAAATTCAGATATTACAAAATGTTACAGGAATACGCAGGTTAATTGACATACAGGTATAGGTGAAAATACAGTGAGTTAGATCTTACAGTCTAGGGGTTAAATATTTATGTTAATTGATTTGTAAAGATATACAAGGTGGAGTTATGGTCTCATATGTGTGTTTGACAGATGTACATACTGGTTGTGTAGGGAAATGTAATATATCTGTAATGGGTTTAGCTTATATGCAGTTTATGGATATGCAGGTTGATGGCAGATTGTTTATGAAAGTGGATATGGTTGGTTGGATGTGTGGGTGGGTGGATATTAAATTTATAATAGAGTGGTGCTAATATTTTACTTTTCTTTCAGTTGCTCATGTGTAAAAATTTTGTAACTATACATCGAGGTTTGTTATTTTTTCCTCAACTCTCCATTAACTACCTATGTTTGACCCTGTGTTTGTGACCCTGTATATGTTTGACCCTATGTGACCCCAGCAACTCAAGGTCGTGTGTTTTTTTCTTTCCAGGTGTTAGTGATGACCGCCATGATGGTGGGCGGCGGTGCTTTCAGCGGAGGCGGCGTGGGCGTAGGCCGGGGCAGCTTGACTCCGCCCAGTTCCAGCAGTACCCACCACTCCCTCAGACTCCCATCCCCACAGTCTCCTCCTTCACCCGCCTCCAGTGACTCGCCTACTTCCCCCGCCAGGTAGGTCCTAAGCAGGTAACGATTGAGATTTTTACCTGTCCAGGGGGCCATCATCAGTGCATTCCAGTTCTCCACACTTGAGGGCAGACTAAGGAATTCTGAAACACGGATTAAGGATTATAATCAGCTCTACACACTTGGGGTAAGCTTAGCAAGTGATCCTAAGCTTTTGTATAGATAATGAGGATCAAATTTATCACACTCAGTCAAGTAGGAAAGGAATATATAACAGAGATGTCTTATAGAGCTAAAAGGGCTGTTCACTCGGGGGGAATTAGGGACCATTTTGGTAAGATGGGAAGGAAGGAGGCATTTAATGTACTGTAACACACACACACACACACACACACACACACACACACACACACTAAAAGTTCATTATTGTATTACTCATATGATAGATGTGGCTTGTGGCTTTGTGGGCAGTACAAGTCCACTTAGTAATTTAGGAACACTTTGTACAGGTGCCAGTATATCTATGTCTTTCATCATGGATCAAAGCTGGTAACACCTTTTCTGCACAGTTGCCAGAATTCCCAAATAACCAGACAAAATAATTTATATTCTTGGAGCTATTTGAATACTCCACTGTCACTTAACCTAACCAACTAAGAACCAGCCTAATGATACCCTTACCTAACCTAACCTCACTACTTAAGCTAACCAGACAAAGTAATTTAAGTTTTAATCCAGCATATACTTATTACCACACTTGTCAGGATGGTTTTTTGATTGAAACATTGTAACAGTTTATTTAGCCATAAGAACACAGATACAGAGTGGATAATAATAACAATATTAACATGGCTGAGCCAGTTGAGAACCTGAGCTGCACCTGATATATACTATACATTTATCTCAAGGAAGTATTATGTAACATTTAGTATCATCTGGAATAGTACAACAGCATGATAGTAATAACAACATGTTACCACGGTTATCACTTCATTATTTATTTATTTTATTTATTTATTATTTTTTATATATATACATATAAATTAGAGTGGACTTTAAAAACAGAAGTATGATGGGGGAGCAGTACAACCTGGGGTGTACAGTAATAAGGTTGAACAAGAGGACAGAGCTGTCAGGATTGTGTCTAGTTGTCAATTATGTTTACTGCAATGGTAATTACTTATTTATTTACATGATAATTTCCAATAAAACGGATTTGATGGTACAATAAAAGCAGGTACTGTAAATATAGTAAGTGTTACAAGAAATATTAATACTTCGACAACAGATATTTTTTTAGAGATGATTTAAAGGAAGGAAGCGTAGTCTTTGCTGGGATGGGTGGGGGTAAGTTGTTCCACACCTTCACACCGGGATATTTTATGGAGGTCTGGGACTGAGAGGAGCGCATGGGGGGTGGTCTTAGTAGCTCTGGGTGCCTTAAGTTGTATCTCTGATTATTCCGGAACTGGAAGTAATTATTGTCAAGCAAGTGATTGATAATTTGTAAACAAAGAGGGCACAGCAGTAAGTGTTAATATCTTCGAATTTTAAAAATTTCAATATAGCAAATTTTTCGTTTGTGTGATCTGTTTTTTTCAAGTAGGTCATTGTCCGTACAACTCTCTTTTGTGCAGTAACCAGAGATTGTGTTTTTGAAGAGCCAGAGGCCCCCCATAGTGTGTGACAGTGTATCAGGTGTTGGTAAAGAAGATCATGATAGATTTCTTTCATTGCTGTGAGAGTGAGTGACTGTCGAGTGTGATACCGCACTGTTTATTGATTTTACATAAAATAATACACCGAGGAATATAAAAAATATTTAATCCAGTCTCTCATATTGTAAAGATGGGAAAAGGAGTGATAATTATTTTTTTTCAGGGTACGAGTTTTAGAAGAAAGTTTGCTCCGGTAACAAATAGTCGTAGTCCCGGTTCTCGTAGCCCTGGGTACGCGGTAATATAGTAGGTAGTTCTATAGCGTGGGGTCTACAAGGTATTTAGGTTAGGTTAGGTTTGTTTGATTTTGCCCTTTTTGATTGATCAGGTCAGGTTATATTAAGTCAGGTTAGGTTAGACTAAAGATATTCTTGTAGACTGCATGCTGTAGTAGCTTCCTGTAGTGCTAGTACAGTCTTAAAGTGGCAGTACAGTAAATGTAACCTGCTACTGTAGTACTTCTGTAGTTTTGTGTTAGCATACTGTACTGAGCTAATAACAGTATGTAGATATTGTACTCGAAACATGACACACACACACACACACACACACACACACACACACACACACACACACTATGTTGAAATTCCCTGTAGTTTGACCAGGGCCGGATTCAGGAGTGGGCAAAGTGGGCAGCTGCCCAGGGGCCTCCACAATCTGGGGGCCTCCACATATTACAATATTTTATTTATTTGTTTATTCATTTGGATTATTTTTATTTTCATTCTTTAAAATTCATGTTTATCTATTCCGTCAAATAAAACTATGTTCAGCAAGAAGCGTGATAGAAATTAGGCTAGCTACTCCTTGAAATTCATGAATACCTGGTTTTCCTAATAATATACCGTATTTCGAATTCCACAAACATATATTGATTAAAAATGAACTACATGGAATAACGAAATTGAGATTAAAAAAATAAATAAAATATTTTTTTCATTATCACTTCCATTACGAATACCATCAGGGCGCTGTGTTTGTTGGCAGTCGGTCGGAGGAGGTTGGGTCGTGTAGTATCTGCACATCGGTTGTCATGTGTCTGTCGATTAAAGAGGAGACTTGCGTCGCCCATGATTCGTGAACTTCCCACGAGTAGACATAAACATATCTTGCAGATGTAAAATGAGAGAGAGAATTGTCACTTCTCCAAAGAAATGTTCAAATTTCAAAATTTTCCCGGGGGGGGCTTACAGCGCCCCCCAGAACTCCCAGACGTTTAGGTTCGCTTCACTCGCCACCCCACCCTCTTGGGTAGTTATAATGAGGGGGGCCTCCACAAAGAGGCTGCCCATGGGCCTCCACAGGTCTAAATCCGGCACTGAGTTTGACCTTCTCCCCACCTAGTTATTATATATCATATTTGTATCACTTATGTTACTTGTATATTATTTGTCAATCAAGTGACCCATTCCCCAATTATGTAACTACAGTCAACCCTCACATTACGCGGTCCTGCATTCCGCGGTTCACCGTTAACGCGGTGCCCTGCCGGAACCTAACATGCTCACATTCCGCGGTGCGTGTACCCCATTACGCGGAGAGCGGCTGGCAAGCCGCGCCATTTTTGGATCCAAACCTCCCGCCATCCGCCATGTTGTGTAAGAGGCGCGAAAATGGTGCGCACAAGGTCGCCCAGTCATCAAAACATTACCAGTTCTTCACCCGCCACCCACTACAGCCGGCCCAAGTCAGTGATAGTGATAATTATAGTGAGGATATGGACTTATATGAACTTTGGGGGGTTTGACAAAGAGGCCCTGCAAGCCTCTGTGGTGGATAGTGATACAATTGATACAAGTGATACAGGTGAGGGCCAATAATCTGCCCTCTGCCTCGGAACCAACCGCCCATCCCCGTGTGCCCAGCCATCTTTTCTACTAATGTAAGTGTTAAAAAACCTAATATTATTGATATTTCTCTTAATTATTAATTGTGTGTGCATGCCATCATAAAGTTAAGATAATATTTTTACTACAACATAGTTGTGTGTCGTCAAAAAGTGGAGTTTGGGGGTCGGCCTGGACTCTATTTCAATTAATCCCAAATGTTATGTTATTCACTTTACGCGTTCCTCACTTTCCGCGGTACCCTCCGGGTTACATTAACCGCGTAAAGTGAGGGTTAACTGTATATATTTTTAACCTTTTGGCTGCCAGGTTCTTTTAATAAACCATTAATTATTATTATTATTATTATTATTATTATTATTATTATTATTATTATTATTATTACACATGCATACACATACACAGGGAGACACACACACACACACACACACACACACACACACACACACACACACACACACACACACACAATCCCGAGAGACATGGTAAAGAGATACATCCGTGCATTTAGCCGCAGGTGTTTTGTTTATTTCCAGTTAATAATGACGTGCAGATTAATTTACCTAGAATGACAGAGAGAAGATAGTGTACCTTTACCTGGGATATAGTTCGTTAAATAGAGGTTTTGTATCTAACGGACCCTCGATATAACGGACTTTCCCCTCCATACGGCCCATTAAATAGAGATTTTGCTGTATACAAGATAACAGCCGTCTTTTCTTTGTTTACATAACTTAAACTTGTCAGGTGAGGTTTCATAGTTTATTCCTGTAGTCATGATTATTTTATGTAATGACTTTATTTGTCGGCAGTACTTATAGTCCCCTTCACTGGTGCGTTTACAGGGGCTCGTCAGGTTTTGTGGAGTGTGGCAGCCCTGTGTTTGTTTACATTCGACAGACAGAAATTCACAATCGTAAACTTACTGTGGAATCAAATTAAAACAATATTAAAACAAATATCTCAATGTAATGACTTGTGGAATGTTTATATGATGAGCCCCTGTAAACGCAGTAGTGAAAGGGACTGTACCTCGGCTATATGACGAGCCCCTGTAAACGCACTAGTGAAGGGGACTGTACCTCGGCTATATGACGAGCCCCTGTAAACGCACTAGTGAAGGGGACTGTACCTAGGCTATATGACGAGCCCCCTGTAAACTCACTAGTGAAGGGGACTGTACCTAGGCTATATGACGAGCCCCTGTAAACTCACTAGTGAAGGACTGGTACTCTAGGCTATACATGATTTAGCCCCTGTGAACTCACTAGGAAGGGATCACCTAGGCTATAAGACGCAGCCCCTGTAAACTCACCAGTGAAGGACTGTACCTAGGGTTACAGGCGACGAGCCCTGTGTAAACCCACATCACTAGTGAGTGACTGTACCTAGGTTATATGACCAGCCCTCCCCCTGTAAACCTTCACTAGTGAAGGGGACTGTACGTACATATGATTCCAGCCCCTCAGAACTCACTAGTGAAAGGGACTGTACTCGCTATATGACGAGCACCTGTAAACTCACTAGTGAAGGGACTGTACGGTATTATATGACGAGCCCCTGTAAACATACTAGTGAAGGGGACAGTACCTAGGCTATATGACAAGCCCCTGTAAACACACTAGTGAAGGGGACTGTACCTAGGCTATATGACGAGCCCCTGTAAACATACTAGTGAAGGGGACAGTACCTAGGCTATATGACGAGACCCTGTAAACATACTAGTAAAGGGGACTGTACCTAGGCTATATGACCAGCCCCTGTAAACATACTAGTAAAGGGGACTGTACCTAGGCTATATGACCAGCCCCTGTAAACACACTAGTGAAGGGGACTGTGCCTAGGGGCTATATGACGCAGCCCCTGTAAACTCACTAGTGAAGGGACTGTACTTAGGTTATATGATCGAGCTCCCTGTAAACTCACTAGTGAAGGGACTGTACCTAGGCTATATGACGAGGCCCCTTGAACTCACTATGAAGGACTGTACCTAGGCTATATGACGCAGCCCCTGTAAACTCACTCAGGGACTGTACCTAGGGTTATATGATCTAGCCCCTGTAAACTCATCAGTGAAGGACTGTACCTAGGCTATATGACGAGCCCCCTGTAAACTCACTAGTGAAGGGGACTGTACCTAGGCTATATGACGAGCCCCTGTAAACTCACTAGTGAAGGGGACTGTACCTAGGCTATATGACGAGCCCCCTGTAAACTCACTAGTGAAGGGGACTGTACCTAGGCTATATGACGAGCCCCTGTGAACTCACTAGTGAAGGGGACTGTGCCTGGACAATTAATAACACATGTGAATTTTTTTTTGTATTCATAGCTTTGATTCATAAATGTCGACGCAGGTTACAGTTCAATTCTTTGTAACTTGTGATTAGTCAGCCTTCATAACTTGATTCAGAAATGTCAACAAATATGGTACAGTTGATTATTACAGTGGTACAGTCTCATAAGAACAATACTGTAACCTGTGTCTAAGTCATCTTCCAGTTTGTTTTATATTGTACGAAAATGTCTTCATAGGATATACCTACTATAATGCCTTCAGAGAATATACCTACTAAAATTTCTTCTTTCTACGTGTAATTAAACCACATTATTTACTTCCTTCCATGATTTCTTCTCCAAAATATGCGGTACATACATAATTACCACCCGTGTAAATCGCCCTAAAGCAGTTCCAATTTCCTCAGCCCTGGCCGATCTGGTGGAAACAAGGAGTGCGGCGTGTGCGGTGACGTGGCCAAATCCATGCACTTCGGCGGCCTCTCCTGCGATTCTTGCAAGGCGTTCTTCAGGCGGTCGGTGCAGAACAACGCCCACAAGGGGTTCACTTGCCCTTACGAGAAGAAATGCGTGATAGCCGTCTCATCCAGAAAGGCCTGTCAGTACTGTAGGTGAGTTGTTGACTTTGTTCCTTAGTGATACTTAATGTTCCTTGGTATTGTGTTGCTTATTTCTTAGTGATACTTAATGTTCTTTGGTATTGTGTTGCTTATTTCTTAGTGATACTTAATGTTCTTTGGTGAAGTGATGCTAATTCCTCAGTGTCACTTAATGTTCCTTGGTATTGTGTTGCTAATTCCTCAGTGATACTTAATGTTCCTTGGTATTGTGTTGCTTATTTCTTTGTGATACTTAATGTTCCTTGGTATTGTGTTGCTTATTTCTTAGTGATACTTAATGTTCTTTGGTGAAGTGATGCTAATTCCTCAGTGTCACTTAATGTTCCTTGGTATTGTGTTGCTTATTTCTTAGTGATACTTAATGTTCCTTGGTATTGTGTTGCTTATTTCTTAGTGATACTTAATGTTCCTTGGTATTGTGTTGCTTATTTCTTAGTGATACATAATGTTCCTTGGTATTGTGTTGCTTATTTCTTAGTCAGGGCTGGATTAAGACCCTAAGAGGCCCTAAGCACTTAAAAGATTTTGGTGCCCCCCATATATATATGTAATTCAAAATATAAACAATAATAAACCATAAAATAAAATGTTATTTTTCGAAATTAAACAAAATTTACAGTAAGATGGAAAATAATGTTTATTTTTGTATATGTCCACTTTATTTATAGTTGAAAAGTTTTCTCCTACTTTTTTTAATTACAAAGTCTTTGATCAGATCCTCAAAACTAGTCTTATGTAACACATCTGCTTCTATACTTAGTAGAGATAAGGCAGCCAGCCTGCCTTGTTGCATAGTTGTTCTGATGGGATTTTTAATATACTTCAACTTAGAAAATGAACGCTCAGCTGAGCAATTTGTGACCATTAATGTTAAAAATATACGAAAGCCAATATCAACATTTGGAAAGGCACACTCAATATTGTCTTCTACAATCATTTTATAAAGTTCAGCATGACTGAATCTTGTTTTTACATTTTTTGTTGCACTGAACTTATGGTGCACATATAAGTGAAACTGCTGAAGCTCAGCTGAGAAATTAGTGTTGAAATCCTCTGGGTAAGCATCAATCAGCTTTTGACAGCACTGAGAATACCTTTCAATTTCAGTAGATGATGAAGTGGCATTATGTGGCACATCACTTAGAAAAGAAAACCTCTCTGCTATTTCTTTATACAGTATATCTCTCCTCTTCTTCTTATCTCAGTTTCAAGTTTATCAATAATTGTGTAAAAGGTGGTGATACGAAATTTATCCCTGGCATTCAGATATACTCCTGGTGCATCTCCGTCACTGGGTACCTTCTTTCTCATACGTTTGTGAGTTTGAGCTGCCTTGTAATCAACATCTGGTAGCATATCCTTTGTAGCTGCTTCATATCTTTCAAATTTATCTCGTGAAGTGCACAGTTGGTCAGCTAATGACCATACAGATCTGCACATGTTTTTAAGTTCACATCCTCATTTTGTAGAACTTGGCTTACTCTATGAAAATTTTACAAAATCTCATTCCAAAAATTCAACATAAAAACGAATTCTAGCTCTTGCATCTTATTTGCAATATTATTTGCTTCTCTTCTAGTGTCTCCCTTTTGTGACTGGTCTTTGGCTATACATTCTAACGCTTCTAAAATTTTAAGGAAAGATTTCAAAATTGCTGCTGTTGCCATAGCATGCGCCTTCCATCTGGTATCAGAGAGGGATTTTAAGACACTTTCATTTCCATTACAACCTTTAAGAATTTTCCACCGGCTGGTTGAGGCTGAAAAAAAGTATAGAGCAACTGCACTGTAGAGAAGAAATTAACAGCCTCTTGACAGCAGTCAACAGCACGTCGGCCTACCAGATTTAGTGAATGAGCCGCACAGGGCACATATATAGCAAACTTGTTTGATTCTAGAATTTTTTGCTGCATCCCCTTATAACGCCCAGACATGTTTGCAGCGTTGTCGTAAGATTGACCCCTACATTTTGAAAAGTTTAGCTTACAAACTTCATGTAAGTACTGCAACACCTGATTTGCCATTTCCTCACCGGTATGGCTTTTCATTTCCGGAAAGGTTAAAAAGCGTTCAATAGGCTGTCCATCTTTTAAGTACCTAAGTACAACACTTAACTGATCGATATGTGATAGATCTGGTGTTGAATCAACTGACAAACTAAAATAACCAGAAGATTTTACTTCGTCAACAATGAGCGCGTGGACCTTTTGTGCCATTAGTTGAATGAGTTCCTCACAGGTGGTTTTGGATAGGTAAGAAGGATTTCCTTTGCCAGAATTTCCATATTTCGAAATGTGACCTGCTAAAAATGGATCACACTGGCTTATGAGCTCAAGCAGCCCTAAAAAATTCCCATTTTGCAATGATCCAAACCTTTCTTCTGTTCCTCTTTTTGTGAACCCTGGTTCAGCTGCACCATTTGCAGTTTTGCACCATATGGTCCATGGTCCAGGGTAAATCCGGCTATGGAAAATTTCTGTGGTGCCCCTCTTCCCTTGATGCCCTAAGCACGTGCTTATTTTGCTTAATGGTTAATCCAGCCCTGTTCTTAGTGATACTTAATGTTTCTTGGTATTGTGTTGCTTATTTCTTAGTGATACTTAATGTTCCTTGGTATATGAAGTGTTGCTTATTCCTCAGTGATACTTAATGTTCCTTGGTATATGAAGTGTTGCTTATTCCTCAGTGATACTTAATGTTCCTTGGTATTTGAAGTGTTGCTTATTCCTCTGTGTCACTTAATGTTCCTTGGTATTTGAAGTGTTGCTTATAAAAGTATACAGTACTCTTACACTGGTTTTAAGTGTAGGTTTTAACAGTATACACTCAGTTACCATGTTATATTACAATGTTATTTTATCATGTGTTCGGAGGGGCATTAAGAGCCAGTTTTCATTATTGACAAGTCCTTTCCATAATGACTCCATTCATCCTGTCGCGATCTGATCATTCTTGAATCATCTAACCATTCTTGAACTATCCAACATGACTAAAATAAAATAGTTAGCTAGTTATTTTTCTGCTAGAGACCCATGGTTAAGAATAATAGAAGCTTAATGTTACACTCACTCTAAGAAAGTATCTTTGGTTTTGTATAAGGCAATATGAGGAATGATTTTAATGATACAATATATATACAGTGATGTCCTGGAGATAAGAATGTGAAGGAAATCATATCTGGAGGTTTATATTTCTAGTTAATCTGTATATATTAAATTACTTCAAATGTCATTAATTAACACAAACTTCTCAAATTTTAAATATTCTCAATCCGAATCCTCGACCAGCTTGTAAAAGAGTGCGTTTGTGTGAAATTTGAAATACAGTAATAAAAATTTTGTCCTCATGGCAAAATGGAAACTGAAAACGTGTCTTAATCTTCTTTGAGTGGAGCTGTTTGTAACCCTCTTAAGTCTGTTTAGTTATACCCTTAACTCATACAATAAAGTACATACCCTTAACTCACATATAAAGTACTTACCCTTAACTCACATATAAAGTACTTCGTTTACCTCACATAATAAAGTACTTCCCTTAGCTCACACTTGAAATACTCCCCTTACCTCACACTTGAAGTACTTACTCTCAGCTCACATATAAAGTACTTCCCATCACCTCACACATATAGTACTTCTTTCAGCTCACACTTGAAGTATTTACCCTCGGCTCATATATAAAGTACTTCCCTTTGCTCACATATAAAGTACTTATCCTCAGCTCACATATAAAGTACTTACCCTCAGCTTACCCATGAAATACCCCCCCTTACCTCACACTTGAAGTACTTCCCCTCACCTCACACTTAATGTAGCTGCCGTTGTGATGTCGGCCACAATTACCATACACCATCACATCACCATATATATATAGACTTCAGTTCTTTCAGCGTTGGGTCATCATAACACTGCTGTGGTCTGTTCCTGTTATGCTGACGTTTCCTCTTTTTGGTGGAGGCATTGTCAGGCTTTGGTAATTGTCAGGCTTGTAATTTTTGTACCAGTCAAAGATGAAGTCGGAATTGGCTAACCAGGAAATATCCTTAACCGGCGCCTCTCAATCCTCGTGGGTACCGGACAACTGGGGCTCTACCGAAGCTCTGTGCGATACTATGCTAATTAACCACATTTACCTTAAAAAAAAAGAAACGGAAGTCACATATTGAAAGGTTTCTGGGCTAAAAAAAAAAGAAGAATATAATTGTTTTTGTTAAGTTTTTTTTTTTTAGTTTTTCTAGAGTTTGTGGAAGTTTGTGTCACAGATAGTAAATGTAATAAGTACTGAACTCTATTGTAACTTTTCATGTTTTGTCTCCAGATTTCGCAAATGTCTATCGATTGGGATGGAGAAGGGATGGGTAATGACGGAGGACGAGCGACGCAAGATGATGCAGCAGAGGCAGGAGAGGAAGACCAAAGAGGAGACCAAGAAGCAGCCCCCTACACCCTGCACCGGCACGGAGAAGTACTCGCTGTCTGAAGAGGACCGCACGGAGATCTCCATCATCGTATCTCTGTACAAGAAGGCTTACCAAGACGTCCCCTACGAAGAATCTTGCCCGCAGGAGGGACCGACGGGAGTCATGTCGCCCTGGATGACGTTCTGTAAGAGAATCGGTTATTTCTTCTCTCTGTTTCGGGAGTTCGCCGATCTCTCCAGCAGCGACCAAGCGTTACTTCTGAAGACGGCCATTACCTCGGCCTGCATCATCATGGGATCCGTCGTATACGATCCCAGTAGCGGTAGATGGCCGGGCAAGGGAATATCGAGGAGCGGTTTCGTCCCCAACGTCACGTCGCAGAATGTGGAGAGGATCGTGCCCGCCGAGTTAATGTCTCGAGTCGAACATTTTTTTCGTAAGTTCCAGCAGGTCTGTCCCGACGAGACCATGGCGATGATACTCATACTGGTGGCTCTGTACTCCCCCGAGCTGATGGGTCTGGAGGCCAAGGACACCATTCAGGCTCTTCAGGATCGCTACACGAGTATCCTGCAGAAGTACGTCGCGTGGAAGTACAAGGACCAGTCGTCCCTCATGTTCCCCAAGGTCATCGTGTCCCTCGCCGACATCCGGGAGTTAGCGGAACGGACGAGTCAGATGCGCATACAGCAGGGCGTGGCGTCCAGCATACCCAGCATGTCGTCGTTCATACCGAGACACGACTCTCACGCGTCGTCTTCCTCGGCGACTCCGATGGAAATCAACGAAATGGGCGGAGCTACGAGTAGAGACGAGGATATCGAGGACGTGACTGTCAAGGAAGAATGCGACCTGGAGGACGACGACGCACTCCGGACGGAAGCCGCGCAGAAGGTGGCCCGTCTGGGGGCCACCGGTGGAGTACGAGACCACACCTACCAAAAAATTATGAATAAGATTATGGATCAGATGACTAGTTCCTCCATACACTTAAGAGCTCCGTCGCTCCTCCCCTTCATCATCCAGATCGTGAAGAAAGTTGGCACCGGGAATTCTAGAGACACGTCCAGTCAGCTGCCTTCCGCCAGTCCGAAAGTCGGTAAGACCCAACAGACGAAACATCAGCGAATAGGGTCTAAGCGGCGGATGGTGGAAATAAAGCAAGAGTTCGTAGACGAAGTTTGCGACAGCCAAGAGTTACCGTCACCCATCCCGACCAACACCGTGTCACCCAACTTGCATCTTAGTCCTCACAGTCACTTCAATCTGCAACCTGAGCCTAACTTGCCTCACGTTCAGCAGCTTCATCACTTGCATCATCACCAGTCGTCGCCGTCGTCCCCCCAGTCAGCTTCCGGGTGTATGTATCCGGTCTCTCCGATGGAATCCACGGACTCGTACGACATGCTGCCGCCCTCGCCTCTACAATCTTCCTCGCCTCTGCATTCTTCCAGCTTGAGATTGTCGCCCCACTCCGTGCCATCCCCCCTTAGTTCAAACCATTCGAACGACATGATGTCCCCTCAGCCGCCACTCATGGTCCCCGTAGCACCGTATACGCCCCCAACGGCAATTCCATCGCCAAACATCCTCGTTAAACAACCCAACATGGCACCCGTAGCAGACATGCCATTACCCTCACCGATGGCTGCACCTTCACCCTGTTCAGATACGTCGAGCTCTTCTCCGGAGAGTTCCCAGTCGCCACTCTCCGAGCTATTTTCGGAGGAGCTCTCAAACGTAGAAATAGACGTACTAACACAGCTTCTGGATTACGTCGCAAACATCGACAACTTGGATAACGTGAGCTCGCTAAAAGAAATCTTACCCCCGCATCTCCTGTCAGAATTACAAACCAAATTGTGCTCGTATTCGCTAAAGCACGAGTAAGCCAGCCGCTACATTACGCCGTTAAATGTTTCTTAAGTGTGATGTAGACCAAGGGCTGTTGTTAAGTCAGTATGTATCAAGTTATATTTAAAGGATATAATGTGTAATATGTGTTATTGAGTGTTTGGTGATGCTTGCAGTGTACTAAAAGAAAAAGCAACTTGTTACACATTTGGAAGTGCATTAAAAGCAACTTGTTATACACATTTGGAGATGCATTACTGTGAAGATAATGGCAACTGTAAATTATCGATCATTTGAAAGGTTTTAGAAAGTTGAAAATCGAAGAAAATTTGCCCGTGAAAACTTTCTTAGTGAGGGAAAGATAAAAAGTTACGCTGGTAAAACAAATCAACACCAGCCCTGATAACAAGTATGTGACATCATATGCATGTACAGTGATGTTTTGTGATAACTTAAAATGAGAAACTCTAGGAAGCTGATGAGTGTGATTTATATTAATCAAAAATCATCTTTTAAAAATGCTACAAATATATACACATCCAGATTCCTTAGACGCTTTTTTTTGCTCCGGTGACTTATGGCTCGGCCTGACGCAAATACAGTAGCTACATACAGAAAATTTATAAGATATTTTGGGAAGGGTTTAAGAATCATCTCATTATTAGCTCATCAATCATATACAGTATACCTGCACACACACCAAGAATATTTCACCTCAGTAGTTCACTCAAATCCATTGGTAGTTTTATACGTGGGTGAAAGTGTCATTACAACGAGAAGCTTAGGAATGCATTGTACATTTTTGTAAGTAAGAATTGCCTCCTCTATCATCTTATCATTGTATTCTTCAGCAGCTAAGAGTAAAGTTTTATATCGGCAATCCGTTTCCTGTAGCGTATAATGAAGAGAAACACCTCTGTAGTGAATAACCAAACAAGCTTCATAACCAACTGTAGTAAATAACCAAACGTAGGAAATGTGAACGACGGTTAAGGTGGTTTTACGTTCGTCCTCCCATGTCGAATGAACCCTGTGTTTTTATTGAAATTTTCGATTCCACATTTTTAAGGGGTTTTGTCATATCAGGATTGGTCTTTGTGGTGTTATGAAGACTTGGTTTTTATGTAATTATTTATTTATTGTTTGTCCCTCCACGCACCCCATTTCTTCATCGATGTTTTGTTTATCGGGATCAAATTTTCTGGTGTTATGAGGGATTTATTTACTTACTTTACCCTCCATTTCTTAACCTCTCTACACTACAACGATGTTTGTCATTATTATACGTAGGCTGTCTTGAGATACAGTTTCCCCTGTTCTGATTGTTAGTTCAGGCGAGATCGCAGGGAAACGTCTATGTGTGTGTGTGTGTGTGTTCGCCGTAGCTTCCAGGGAATTTCAAGCCTTATTATGATCTAACTTGAGAAATGTATGTACAGTATCGGGAGATGATAGGCTTACTATATTTATCCAAGTTGCAAGAGTCAAATGTTTATTTTCATCTGGATATTTAACATTAATTCTGTTGCGAGAAATTTACTTCCATGAGAGAGAAGGAAGGAATGGTCAGGCAGATTTCATGGTCTGGTAGTGATAAACGATCATTGACCTAAAGGATGAACTATTTACATTTAAACATGTTACATTTAAACATGCTATACCAATCTGGGCATTGAATACATTTATCAACAAAACATACCATTTATGTTGTCCCCTCCACGTAGTACAGTAGTTTGAAGTATTTTGTCTTCGTTTGGTTAAGATCGCAATATACCACGCTGGATTATTTACATTGGTGGTGCGTCGTTACAGGAAGTGTCAAATAGCGACCTTGTTATGTTTTTGTGGTGATATTAATTCGACGTTTTATATTCCTCTTAAAAAAAAAATCTACGTGGATGATTTTTTTTGTGAATGCTGGAATTTTGTATACGATAAGTAATGACGCCTCGTCCAGCTGTATGTAGGTACCTAGGATGATAAGCTTGGTGAGTGTTAGAGAAGCTTTGACCTCTGGAATAATAAGCTTGATGACTGGTACAAGCATTGACCTCTGGAAAGCTTGATGACTGGTACAAGCATTGATCTCTGGAAAACTTGGTGACTGGTACAAGCATTGACATCTGGAAAGCTTGATGACTGGTACAAGCTTTGATCTCTGGAAAACTTGGTGACTGGTACAAGCATTGACCTCTGGAAAGCTTGATGACTGGTACAAGCTTTGACCTCTTGAATAATAAGCTTGATAACTGGTAGAACTTAGAAGCATTGTATGGAGAAAAGTCACATAACGTTTGCAATAGGCGATGTTTTTTTTTTGTTGTTGTTTGGGGGGGGGGGGATAGTTTAAGACACATTGTAAGACCCGAGAATGTGTAGTTTGGGCGATTAAGGTCGAGAATTCGTAGTCGTTTGAGGCACCTGTGTGTAGGAAATTCCGTGTATGTTGACATCTTGCGCGCCAGCCTAGATTTACTTCATCGTCATTCCAGTTATTCTATTTTGCTTTATTTTGGGGGGGGGGTGGAGTTAGATTACATAGATGATTCATAGCTTCCCGTTCCTGCCCTCCTTACCATCCCAGTGTTAATTAAAAAAAAACAAAAAAAAAACAAAAAAACAATTGACTGGCTACCTGTCCCACTACCTCACAACTGTATTTAAATCGTAAACGTCGAGAGAATTAAAAAGACCTACGCAAGGTTTGGGTGATTTTCCGTTGTTTGATTTCACTCCGCTACGAGACAGAGTACACGTTGCCTTAATTACTTACCACAATCAGTCACGTAATCGTCCACTTGACCCGGTACTACCAGAAAATTACACTAGCATAAAGATAAGTATACTACATATACACCCTCTGTACTGCATATGTAACGTATGTTGTTCTTGACGATACTAAATAAAAGTATGTATTATTTTGTACTACATTTATGGCTGTTAGGGGTAACTGCTTAATACTAAAAATAAATTATGCCAGGATAGGTAATATTAGTACAACTAGATTCACCTGATTTACCTATTCTCATGTTAGTATTCCTATGATAATGTCTCTTTTAGTTTCTTGAAAGGAATTTGGTATATTTATTTTTCATCCAAGTTGAGAACCAAATGGTAGGGGGCATGAAATGGCTGTCCATAGTCTTAAAACATTTTCAGTACCGAGTGACATAATTCAAGTCTTTTTATTAGTTGTATTATTATTTTCCGTGTGTGTGTGTGGTGTCCATAACTCCGTGCAGCTGTGAAACATTGAGCGAAATTTGTTCTTATGTGTTTTAAAGGTTGGTAGTATAGCATTGAGGTTATGTCTCGAGCCATCTAAAAGTCAGGTAAAATAGGCCTCGTCACTTCCGTGTTTCAGGTTGAGAATAGTCATATGTGGACTGGTGCCGTTGTTCTGGGAGTGTAGTAAAACCTCTATCTAACGAACTATATATAGATGGAAGTCATTTATATCGAGGGTCTGTTAGGTGTGAAACCTCCGTCTAATGAACAATATAGAGATGGAAGTCCTTTATATCGAGGGTCTGTTAGATGTGAAACACTCCATCAAACGGATTATTTGGAGACCGGTTTCACGATTTTTCGTGTACTGACGGGAATTCTTCTGGGGTGGGAACGACGAGACAATGGGACGGCAGAACCAGATTTAATCACCTGTGAAGCTCGGTTGTAAACACAGCTACCAGGGGGAGGGGACGAGAAGTGGAACAAACTACCATAACTCCTGTTTGTCTTAGGGGTTTTTAACACTACTTAGGACAGGGGATATAGTACAGTGGTCTTTCATTCTGAATTGAGATTCTTGGTTAAATGATGGGGTGGAGACATGACCTGAAGTACAGCCAGATTTGTGGAGATGAAGTACATTGTAAGATATTGGGTGTGGGGGGTTAAAGCAGGTATATTGGTATTAATGTAATGTTGATTGTTCTCCCCCTGTGAGATAATTGTGCTGGTGGTTTGTTCTCCAGTTCCCTTCGTTCATATACAGTGAAAGTGTCTATTTAACAGACTACTGTATAAGGAAAGTCCATTGTGTCGAGGGTCCGTTAGATGTAAAACCTTCATCTAATGGATTATATGGAGAGAGAGAAGTCAGTTATATGGACATTTCACCGTAGGGTATATTAGCAAGTTGCACACGGAGGTAGTCACAGAGGCGTTAATAATGTATGCAAGAGACCTGAAGTGCTTGTGATGTGTGGGGGCTTATACAGGGTCACACAGTAATGGTGACATAAAGGGAAAACCGACATCAGAGTTAGTGTGAATTGTGTTGGCAGGCTTGTGTGTCCCCTGTATTACCCGAGACACGTAGAGGTGGTAGTGGATACAGCAGCTACACGGGATATTATTTACGTACAGGTGAAACATATTGGATCATTTAGGCGAGTGTCGAAGAGTTGAGAAGTTTTATTCTTTTTATGTCATTGTTAGGTTATCTGTTTTTGACAAGGTACCCATTTAATAGGTGTCATAATTCTACATGCAGGAGTCAAAGGTTAGTCTTTAAGTTACTGCTTGTATAAGATGTTAGAGCTTGCAGTCATATCAATAATTGAACTGTTGTGTGATGCGACCACAGCCTCTAGGAGCCGCCAGTCTCAGAGAACTGATTACTCTAAGTATTTATGGTAGGTAATGCTGTACGTATAGTCTATTCATAAATGAGGGACAAGTAAACACATGAACCCACAGGGTTGGTAAACAACATATTATAGAGAGTTGATATATATATATATATATATTGGTAAAAGATATACAGTATTTGTACAACATTATGAAGTGCTACAGTACTTTAAAGTTGAACTAGTTAAGTGGGGGAACATTTTGTGAATGGTTGGTTTGTTGTGCTGCATTGTAGCCTTTTCCATCTTTAGGTACTACAGTAGCTGATTAAACTCTACCCTTATGATATAATTACAGCCCTGATTTTATATTGAAGTAGAGTAGAGTACAGTACACTGTATAAGTTGATTTATGAATAAGGGTCAGTTACAGAGGGGTAGAGTAATGGTGGGCACATAGTCTTGAGGCAGATGTGTTACTACACTGCAGTAACAGCTTTATATGGAAGTGCTAGAATGTTGTTAGCTTCAGTTATTGTATCTAACACCCATTGTGTTTGGTGGTATTCTTAGTTGTACAACACAATTGCTTACCATGGAACATCCTGAATTGGCATAAGGGATGAAATCCCACAATTTTAATGAGTCATTACCTGGTTTTGTAAACCCTCTATTATCTGTACTGGTTGATTGGTGTAGATCTTCAAAGACAGTCTGCAAGTTAAAGTATTTCCCATCAGGTTACTGAAGCTATTGGAACCTTAGCCCAGCTTTTATGTCTAACATACAGGCTGGCCATTGTGTCGGTGATAAGACAGTTTGTCCATTAGTTCTATGTTCAGTACTTGGCTCCATCTGGTGAGTGGAAGACCAGTGTACAGTATAAGAGTCAGACTCGGATATTTACATCCTTTTAGCAATATTTGAAGTCAACACCTTTAGTCCTGTAGATGAATCCCCGGTGAAAGAAATCAGAAGTTATTATTAATTGTAAAAACATTAAGTAATTCCAAGATTTTACCATTGTGTTATTATTTTATGGCTTACTTTAATTATTGTATATTTAAAGATCTTTACTGAGGAAAATTTATGTTGTGTAGATGAAACTGTGTGTGTGTAAGATGGTGGTATGGGTCAGAGAAAATAGATACTGGTTACTTATCGCATCCAAACCACTGCCTTTTCTCTTTGTAACCTGACATGCAGTGGCCTGTTTTACATGTGACATTTGATCACTGGCGACACATTATGTAAACTGTAGATGAGGTGTTGAGTAGTCCAGTTGTTATAGTGGGCATAATAGAAAAAGAACTGTCAGGTGAATAAATCTGTTAATTTCATGTTTATAAATCGAGTGGTACATAATTGTTTCTGTACATCGACTGAATGTAATATAATTCACCAAAGGGAAAGAAATAAATAATTATTGGCCTTGATTTAAGTCCAAGTTCAAATTGTAATTACTCAGGTGTAATTAAGGTAAGATTCTTGATGATAGTTGATTGATTTGAGGAATTACGAATCAAGTAATGGATAACATGCATCATCTTCATTGTGGTGTCTTGCAAGGACAAAGGAAAGCAAAGAACTAGGTGGTTTTTTTACACACAGTTGCCAAAAATGAGTAAATACCTTGGATATATGAGTCCCCCATTGCTTCATGCACACCCCACCCTATTCTCTCTTGTTTTAAACCCTGTCTTTGCTCTGTTCACTGAAATTTTATTCATTTTCATTGATGTTATGTCAGATACCCAGTACTAGTCACATCCTGACCACCAGTTCACCACAGGCTTATGCATCTCTTCTCACGTCTTATTTCTATATACTGTAATTTCTGTACCACAATAATAATGGCATAAAGAAGAGATGCTTTTATGATCTGAAATAAAATAAAATATCCAGGCCTACTTTCCTTTGTTATGGCAGGGCAGTATAGATCATGCAGTATTGTACATTGTAATTTATCATTGACAAAAAATATAATTAAAATTATACTTATCAAATAGATCATGTCTGTTTATTTGAATGGATTACTTTTCTATACATATTGGACATTGAGTTTCATTATTGTGGGTAAGAGAAGAGTCACCTGTTGTAGTTTTAGTTCAGACTTCATAATTATTTTGCACACTACCAAAAGAGATTAACTTGCTTCAGTTATTATATCAACCTGCACTATCATTCAGTATTAGTTAATTGCATTTTTTTTTACCAAAACTCGCTATGAAAACCACACACAAAACTGAGATGTGTATAAGATTGAGAATTAGTGTAGAATATATTGTATCAAGGTCTGTACAGTATGTGTGTGGTACCTCGCAAGCACATAGCATTTTGACACTAGCCATTGTCAGCTTGGTATATAAACACTGAAAAATATATACCAACAGTAGTTGTGTTGTGTGTAAAATGGACACTGGATGTTCTTTTCTTAACCGATAAGGTTTATCATCAAATCTAGCTAAAAATTTTATTCTTTTCTAGTAATCAGTTTCACACACTCATTTATCAGTGAATTTCAACTATTGTATAACATTATTTAAAAAAGCAAAAGTAGTGTAGTTTTAGAGGCAGCAATGAAGGTAACTAAAGAGATAGGTAGGATGAGTTGCTTAGTCACGTTAACTGGTCCTCTATAAACTGCCAATCGCATCATTACAGCTACTACCTCTTGCATATGGATTAAAATACAATGAATATAATGATGAATGTACAATACAACCTTGAAGTGAAAAATGCTTGTGTAAAGTTATTGGCTGATGATTTCTAGCCATGTTTGAATGGTTGTCGACTGCAGTATAAAAAGTTACGAGAAATATGTGCAATCCTTTAATGCTCGTTCTTATTTGTTTCAATATTTCACAGTAGGAAGAACTAAATGTATGATAAATGTTGAAAGATTTTGCATGACTATCCATATTTAAATTTAGGAAAGGGTATAGTATATTACATTATTTGTTTATAAATAGTGTAATATATTTCTCTGATAAGTTAATCTAATTAATGTGATCACTGAAGTCACTTAAACATTCAAAATATTCATGATTTTATTATGTAATTGTGTTGCCACTACCAAGGAGTTCCTGTTATAAAGATGATCCCATGTTCTGTACCAGCAGTTACTTTAAAACATCAATACTTTGTTGTCACTTTATAAACACTTCACATTTCACAGTATAAATTTGTTATGCATCATTTAGAGACAGTTAAGATTATATCATTATTGTTTTTTTCTGTCATTGTCTTTGAATTACTGTAGTTTAAGAGTAATTCTCAATTTGTATTTCCATAATGATATGTTGGCCTGGCCACACCATAGTCCAACCATGCTGATATGTAATGTATAATACCTCTTTAATTTATTTGTTTATTCCTCCCGAAGTTGATTGGGAGGCGAAGAATGGTAGGTATAGTTTGTCCTTATGGAAATGTAAAATAAGCCATTCCCACACTCTCCTGTACGAGCTAATGATAGTGACCTTAACAGCACCTTTACTAGTAGTTGAGGATAACACTTGGCCGAATAGCCCACCCAGCAGGTCCTGGTTTGAGTCATATGGCTGGGTGCTTGAGTGGGATGCTACAACTCATCCCAGCTAGATTGTTGGGGAATAGCTGTTGAGTGCAGTGATTTTAGGTCAGGTTATGAAAGTTGTGGAAAGAATTATTGAGAAATTCATAAGGGGGAGGGGTGAAAGTTAATAAAATACAGTTTGATATCCAGAGGCAATATTTATGGCCAGGCAGCGAGGGAAGGAGAGAAAGTTGTACTCCATATTTGTCGACGTAAGAAAGTATTTGGCAGTTCCACGCGAGGTAGTGCATTGGAAAATTAGGAATTTAGAGGTTGAGAAGTTTTGTACATAAGGGCAAGAGAGTTTCAGTAAATGGTAAGGAAAGTGAGGAGTTTGAGGAGAAAGGATCTGTCCTCTGAAGTCACCCTGTTTGTCGTGGTGTTGAGAGGAAATATCATGTGATTTTTTGGACTTTATGCTCTGGGGGGGGTTCTTGTGTGCTGCAGATAGTGATGAAGTAGTGGAGAAATCTAAGAAAAGGTTGGAATGGTGTAGTCAGAGTAGGAGAGTGAACATGGCCCATGAGTGGTATTGGTGAAGGAACTGTGATGGAAAACAGCCATGTTGCTCTGTGTGGTGTGAATGACAAGCTGCAGGAAGTTGTGTTTTAACTGTACTGAAAAATCTTGAAGGAATGAATCTTTGAAATGACTTACCCTGACTGTCATCTGGTGCCGGTGTGCTGTTTTATCTCCTTGGGATCCATACTGCTTCAGTTTGGGAGGGAGCGAACTTTTGTTTGTGTCCGTACAGTTGGGAGTGACTGAAGGCACTAATGGTATGAGTCACCCACCTCCTTTTGAAACCCTCCAGGAGTGTTGTGCTGTCCTCCTGATTGTTAATTATTTCAGCATTTTTGGGAGTCGGGTCAGGTCAGTCTGCCCACGTAAGAGAATCTGGGCCTGGCCAATTTTACATTTCCATGATGAAAAAGTCAACAGAGGCATCTCATGTCATGTCCATTACTAAAGCAACATTCATTTGGATAATCAGTTGATATTTGGTTTGAATCTGTTATGTACATATGTCTGCACAAGATAAGTGGTTTGAAGTCACAAATGCCATTCTTTTGGAGTATCCTTTAAAGAAAAAGTCAGACCAATAGAGCAAATTACTTATCTTGAAGCCACATAGTGATAAATTCTTCAGTCTTGGTTTAGTGATGAAAGCTTTCGTGATGGGAGAATTGAAATTTAAACTATGTATTGGCCGGTTTGTAGTTTCCCACATTGTAGATTGAAACTGTTGGTAGATAATAAGTGAATTTATTTTATTAATGGTGAGCACAGTCTCCTCATGGGAGCAGCAGAGTACAAAGTCAATACTGTCCCCGGCCAGCCACATAGATTACACCCCGGTATGTAAGAGAGAGAGAGAGAGAAAGAGTGTCCCTCAGAGTGGATGAAAGTCTTGTTGGCCATTAGGATTGGGTTTAGTTGTATAAGAAGAATCAAGTCCTCAGGTCCCTGAAGTAATGCTCGCAGAGGCCTGTCCTGTCACTGTACATATGTGAACGCCCTCCTCTGATACTGTATATGCACTAATATCATTTGGTGAATGGTGTGTATTACTTCAGAAAATAATTTCAACCTGTATGAATGACTGGTGTCTCTGTGGGTACTTACTTGCATCAGTGAAACATTACATTTTGGACACCTTGTGATTATTTGTGTTACAGATATTTATCCAAAAATTTCAGTTGCAGTTTATTCTGCCATTAAAGGCATTAATTTGAAGTATTCCTAACATGCATATACAGTACACTCGGAGCATACTTCATCACCGAGACCAAATTCATCCGAATGTTTTGCTCAAGTGTGTGCAGTATATATGGTTATGTATAGATATATAATTTAGTAGTTTATCATTGAATGTTGTGGAACATTTCATGTGGACATTCTCAGCTGTTGGAGGATTTCCTGTGAATTTGGTGTACGTACTTTTAAGTCTTTGTTCTTAAACCATTAGAAGATTTGGCCATTCAGACTTGGTGGTGGCTAGTGTAACAACACACTGTAGTACAGTTCAGTTCAGTTGTCCAGGATTTCTGTTTCATCTTGATAATTTAACAGAAATGAAATTCTTTTTGGTGATTTGAAAGCCTAGTAAGTCTCAGTTAAGAGATAGAAAGGTAAATGTGATGTAATTTTAGGCATATTTAATGCTATTGTTGTAGGTCTGGACTGAAATGTTGACAATGAGAGTTTCTGATTTATATTTTTCATAAACTCTCCACCTTAGTCATTTGAACTGCTCATACAGGGCTCTAAACACACAAGATTATAATCCAGACTTGCTACCATACCACCAAGTATGCCAAAAAATATTAGACTACTCAGATTTTCCTTTTCAAATTCGACCAACCCTCCACACTATCTGGGGGAAGGCCAGGCCAAGCTTCTTATGTTTACAAGAAAAGTACCAATATGACTACATCAAGTCCTGGACATTCCAAATCTAAAATTAATAAAAGGAGAAAAAAAAATAATGTACACAATCTTTAAAATCTTGATCTAGTTGTGTAAATCTTGAGTTTGTGTGATAATTTGTTGTAATTACTATACAAGTGTGAGTAGGAAAATAGTACTGTAATGAAATGTACTTCAGAGAAACGTTTAGTGAAAATTCATATGCTGGAGATCCAAAATGCCTTCCCATCACTGGACTTGCCTCAGTGTAAACCAGCTGTCACTTTCCTACTCAATTCATAAACTAATTCAATGCAGCTGTAAAGCTTCGAGTCAATCTACAATTATTTTTGTATCCTCCCAAGAGCTCTGTATTTCCAGCAATTGTTTAACCTGCATTACAGTGTACAATATTTTGGTGCTTGAAAATATAAAAAGGTAATACAGTTATTGCCATAATGACGGGTACAGCTTTTTCCAGTCTGGAATAGTTTACAAGAACCTATTGGTGAAACATAAGTCTTAATATAACATTTACATTATTGAGCAAATGGGAAGCTAGGGACATGTGTACATACTATAGCTGAGGCTTGCAGAGTTTCTATATATCAATATAATATATTGAGGAATGTGCTGTGTTGCACTGTGTTACTGTAAACAGTAATAAAAATGTTTCCAATATAGTATGTTTCAATGTTCTTCAAAGTTATATTTTATATGTACTGTACTTGGCTTAAAAAGGACGATTTTCTGTCATTGTGGCAAGTTTTGTTATGTAAATTGTCTTTGATGTGTCTTCCTTACCCAAGGTGCAATATACATACATACATACATACATACATACATACATACATATATATATATATATATATATATATATATATATATATATATATATATATATATATATATATATATATATATATATATATATATATATATATATATATATATATATATATATATATATATATATATATATATATATATATATATATATATATATATATATATATATATATATATATATATGCAAGTAATCACTGTAGGTGCACGTGATCTAGGTATATGCTGATAACCACAAGGAAAGAAGAAAACACGAAGTTCCCAAGCGCTTTCGTGTAATTCACATCCTCAGGGGTGAGTACAGTATATACAGTAGGCTCTCGCCAATAACGACTTCCACAATAATGTTTTCGACAATAACGGTAAGTTACAATAGATACCCATTTTCGATAATAACGTCCGGATTCTCTTGAATAACGGAAATTTCGCGGGAAGCGTCCGAGCGCATCAATGATAGCGTTTGTTTGCCTCACTCTCACACGCTTGGTGGAATACAGCGCTGCGCCCACCTGAGATTTTCGCCACTATAACCAGTGGTTGTTAGGGTCGGTGATCAATAATGGCTTCCGCATTTTTGCCTATGGGGGCTAGGGGAGGTGGTGGAGGGAGTGATTTGCCACCTGAATGACTGGGAACTTTTAAAGTGAGGAAATTGAACTGTCCTGAGTCTACAGTGCGAAATATTAAGAGGTACTTAGAGGAGACCAAGAACAGTATTGCGCTGGCTAAAAATATTTCGGAAGTGATGAAAATGCGAGGTGAGCTATGAATGATTAAGGCGATAGAAACAGGTTGTTAGTGATAACAGAGCATTTTCTTGTGAAATGGTTAGCTTGTAGAATGAAAGACAGTGCAAGTGTTAGCGGCCCTCAGATACGGAACAATCATCACACCAAGCACTCAAACCATTGGGATCAGCGTCAACAATTCTGCTACCAACTATACCGCCCTTCAGGATTCATTGAACAGTCTCCAAAACTGGGCCACCAACAACCATGTCACCATCAACCATACCAAGACCATGGTTATGCACATCAACCTCTCCTCCGACATTGTCCCACCCCCTTCCATTACTTTAGGTCCGAACACACTCCAGGTTGTAGATTCCACGAAGCTCCTCGGCGTCACCATAGACAACAAACTAAATTGGAAACCACACGTCAGTGAAGTTGTCAAATCCTCCAGTTTCCGTCTCCACCTCCAGCGCCGACTCAAGTCCCTCGAGTTTCTGCACCCGAGCTCCTCAGTGTTTACACAACATTCATACTTCCCAAGCTCACCTATGCCTCCCCCACCTGGTCTTCCTCCCTAAATGCCACACAACGTAAACACCTAGAAAAAGTGCAAAAGAGGGCATGCAAGATTATTCTCTCCCCTTCCTAATCCACATATCAAGAAGCGCTCAACACACTGACCCTTTCGACTCTCACTGACCACCACCACGACCTCATCTGCAAATTTGGTAAGAAGCTTCTACACCATCCTCGACACCGGCTCCTACTGCCACCTGAGATCCCTAGCCCGAGAATTGCTGTTCGACACCACAACCGCATCCAGCCCATACTTGCACGAACTGATCGCTATAAGAACAGCCCAGTCCCAACCATTGTAAAAATTATCAATAACTTGTAATAGACCAGTGTATTCACTCCCAGTAAATACTACTTGCACTGTCACTATGTTGAAATGCACTGTAGTTTGAGCTTTTCCCCATCTAGTTATTATATGCGACAGCATCCTAGCAACCAAACGAAAGGGCCCAGGGGGCGTCACTCAGCTGCTACTGTATCTCAGCAACACGGGGGGGTGGGGGTCGAGAAACTGCTATTCCTGGCTTTCATTTCCCGGCTGCTGTGTATATAAGCTCTGTCTCTCCATTAAGATTCATTCTACTCTACGTTCCTGAGCACGCAACACCTGCTCCAAGCAAGCTCCTCGCTGTCCAGCTCTCATTCAACCTGGAGGCCAGCAACAGGCAACATCTTCTCTAACGAAGCTCCTGCACATCTACCTCCTTCAACACGCTACTCACCGAACGTCTCCACTGAGCAGCTCCTCACCACACGGCATCTCCAGCACCAGACTGTCTTTCATATAACTTATATTATATAAGAAAACCACCACCTTAGAGTTTCCATCCATCCATCCTGAGTGCTAGACAACATAATATCACGTAACCCTACAATATTATTTATAATTCGAAACCCATTCCCCAAATATGTAACTGTATATTTTCAGCCTTCTGGCTGCCAAGCTCTTTCCATAAACCGTTAATTATTATTATTATTATTATTAAACTCCCCCAAGCTAAGTGTTATATTACTCAAACTCTTTATTTTGATGATTGAATAGCAATTATTTTTTTCACCTAAGAAAAAGTGTTAGGAGGGCTTCAAGGGGAAAAAATGGGTGAAATAAACCCTTTTTACATGTATTTTAATGTCACACAAATAACGTTTTCGCTAATAACGGTGTTTTACAGGCACCTATTAAACGTTATTGGTGAGAGCCTACTGTGTGTGTGTTATATATATATATATATATATATATATATATATATATATATATATATATATATATATATATATATATATATATATATATATATATATATATATATATATATATATATATACATACATATATATATATACATACAGCGGTCCCTCAGTTAACGAAATTTCGGTCAAAGAATTACCTTCCATAAGAATCTTCAATTCGGTTAAAGAACAAAAATTTGATTAACGAAATCCTTAAGAAAATCACATTTTTATTATAAGCATCAGCTGATGGCCCAGTCTGCCAATTCAGTAATCTTTTCTAAGTTTAAATTCGTTTCCAATGGAGTAAATACACCTGTATCAATAAATTTCAGCGTTTTAATATTTTTGAATGTTTTATATTAAAATTATTGGTCATTTTAACATTAAATATTAATAATATATGCAGTACTGTAGAGGAAACTAACATACCAGTTTGTTGTTGTGAGAATCAGCTGAGGGGTACAGTACTCAGCCAATTCAGTAATCTGTTCTATATTTAAATTAGTTTTCAATGGAGTAAATACCCTGTACAGTATCAATAAATTTGAGCTCTTAATTATTTTTGAATGTTTTATAATAAAATTATTAGTCATTTTAACATTTATTTAACATATTGGTAATATTATTTGCAGAACTCCCTCTACAGGTTCAGTCTGGCATTGTTTACTGTTGAGAGAGCAACTATTTTGTTGGTGTCTTGAATATTTTTGCATTTTTCATTGAAATTATTGGTCATTCTGAACTTTAGCTAACACAGTGATAATATATAGTGCAGTGTTAATATAAAGAAAATAATCTTGAATTACACCTAGTGAAACTTAAAATTTTATTGGTGAAATGAGGCATGAAGCATGGGGCGATTTCTCTTCCACCCATTACTTCTCTACCCCCACTTCTAATTCTCATCATCATCATCAACCAGGAGCCTTCTACATACACACCTCAAAGTAAGTGTACTTTAATGCATTTTTTTTTTACTTTGGGCTTGCGGCTTCTTCAATCTTGAGCTGTGACCTCTTGTGGGGCGAGCGTCCGCCAGCTCCAGGTATGGACACTCAATTCAGTAGTGCCCCTAAGATGCTTATGCACCTCAGTTATGTTCCCTCGACTGTAGTATAAGCTAGGCAAGTTCAGGCGCTCCAATCTTCGGGTAGCTGAGGTGTCGAAGTGCAGGCACCAGTCTGGTGGCCTTCCTTTGAACATTTTCAACCAACTGACAGTCCCTAGCATATCTTGGGGACCAGACGGGGTGACAGTCATCCAGATGGGGAAGCACTTCACTCTTGAAGATCGTTACGAGGGACGGACCATCTAGATGGCAATGGTCGCTAGATAACATGGCACTGGTCGCTAGATAACATGGCACTGGTCGCTAGATAACATGGCACTGGTCGCTAGATAACATGGCGCTGGTCGCTAGATAACATGGCACTGGTCGCTAGATAACATGGCACTGGTCGCTAGATAACATGGCGCTGGTCGCTAGATAACATGGCACTGGTCGCTAGATAACGGCACTGGTCGCTAGATAACATGGCGCTGGTCGCTAGATAACATGGCACTGGTCGCTAGATAACATGGCGCTGGTCGCTAGATAACATGGCACTGGTCGCTAGATAACATGGCACTGGTCGCGATAAATGGCACTGGTCGCTAGATAACATGGCACTGGTCGCTAGATAACATGGCACTGGTCGCTAGATAACATGGCAATGGTCGCTAGATAACATGGCGCTGGTCGCTAGATAACATGGCAATGGTCGCTAGATAACATGGCAATGGTCACTAGATACCATGACACTAGTAGATAACATGGCACTGGCCACTAGGTACTTGGCACTAGTCACAGGTAAACTTACTAGTATTTCCTAAACCAATTAACGGAGAGCGCTGTTTTGGTCGGTTAAATAAAAAAAATCACTCCTTGCTCATATTGGATTTCCTGAATGGGACAGAGGAAAGAGGGATATGTAGAAAGACCAGGAATGAAGATGAGCGAGAGAAGTATAGGAGTGAGGTGAGTCAGAGGGAGGAGAAGTACAGTAAAAAGACGGCGAAAAATGAGAAGTGAGGAAAGGTGAAGAGGAGGAATGAGATGAAGGGGTGGAGTAAGAGGAGAGGGGAGCAGGGAAGGGGACACAGGACCCATCAGTAGGCTACTGACACCTCCCCAGGCACTGACACCTCCCCACAGGCAATGGCACCCACCCACAGGCACTGACACCTTCCCACAGGCACTGACACCCTCGTACAGGCACTGACACCCTCCCACAGGCACTGGCACCCACCACA